GGCTCAGCAAGAGCCAGTGGCTACTGCAATCATTCACCTCACTTCTTGGGTTAAGAGCATTTATAATTTGCCTTCATCCCATCCCCACTCAGTGCAGTGTTCTTAATTTGGCTAATTAACTTTGTCTTATTAAAAGAAGACATGGTATTAACAACCATAAACAACTGTGTCTACTTCTACTGGAATTATGTTAACCTACAAGATGACAATTCTAGGTTCTTTACACCTTCCAGTGATCCCTTGTTCCAGAGCAGAGAGGGAGCAAGCACAGAGGCATGAGTAGCTGAGCATATTTAGTACTCAGTCATTATCTACAAGCAGATTTTTCTCACAGGAGAGCAAACTGCATACAGTTTTGGTCCATTTCTCTCCTTTGTAAGGAGACTCCTTCAGTCAGTTGGTGTGTGAACTTGCTGCTACTGCAGCCCACTCCATGAGTGGGACTGGACAGTCTTTTTTCCTATGATCTTGGAAAAGATAAGACACCATGCATACAATGCCCCTCAGCCTGTAGGCATCTACAGTTGACTAACTTGAACTTAAGGTGTCTAAACTTCCTCCTCAGCAGCTGATGGTGAGAAGGAGGTATTTTTTCCTTCTGCACATCTCAGAATGTTGATGGGTTGCAGTTGCTTTCAGTATGTGCTGATTTGTGCGTGGACTACTCAAACAAGACTGATTGTCTCTGACTAGCTGCCTAATTTTACACTAGTAAAATCGAATGAGTGTGAACATGGTCAGAGGAAAGAACACCTCTGTTCTCAAAAGTTGTCCAAGTGGCAGCTTAGGACCCTCAGGGGCTCACTCAGTTATAGGAGGCTGCCTGTACTGTAATACTTACATCTCAGCCAACCATCATAGGCTCCTGTTATAGTTAATGGAGAGAAACAGGCAGTTGTATGGCACAGTTCCATCCTTCTTGGTACAGACACCTAAAATAGGCCTATCTTTTGTGATGTTCATGAAATATTACAAAATATTAGTTTTAGAAGTGAGCAGAGTTCCAGTTATTCCTTCTAACACAGACAGACCCTCAACGACGCCCACCAAAATCTGTTCATTTACCTTGTTTATGTCCCTGAGCAGCTTTACAGGAGGAAAGTTCCTGCCACGCTGATCTAAAGGGGCAGTTTAGGCAAGCTGCATTTTCCACCTAAATATTGTGTAAGATCTAGATGATATTCTGTGCATAGTCAGTGGTGGGTTCTGTAGCACCTGATTTCAACAGATTACCTGGAAACAGCACCATCCAAAAGCACCTTATGAATCCACAACTCACTTTCCCTTGATAGCTCTCATACTCACCATAGTCACAGAGCACTACTAACAATAGATTTGAAAAATCTTTCAACATCTGTTTCATTCTGGCCAGTGAGATCCCAGGTCCTTTTACTCCTCATGTCCTTATTCAGCTCTGAAGTACAGGCACTTTTTTCCAAGAACACCTGAAAATTAAAAAATTACAGCTGTATTGCCTTTGCTTCATAAAATACAAGGAGGAACATTTACCACTAGCAAGTCAAAAACATATATTATTGATTAACACTTCTCTCATTTACTTAACAATTAGTAATACTGTATCAATGGATCTGAATAAACAAATAAGCACAACTACAACTCACTCTACAATGAGTTTCCCCTCCGTAAATGTCAGCTCCTGAGCCAGAACAACAGAGACAGGTCACAATGATTTACCTCTGCACTGCAGTAACTGCTGCTGTGCATGCTTTATACTAAGATCAAGACTTGTGACAGTATAATAACAAGCATTTTGTATAAGATGTAACTGAGCTCAGCATATATTGATAGTGAAGATTGATTGCTGCTACACAATTCATATCACTTACCAACTGCTTCCAAGCATGAAAGAGGCTTAGGAGAAAACTACCATTTTGGTCCTCGAACTACCCTGTTATTCAGGTCTAGTAATATATTAGCTATCTTACTAGATTTATAAAATACCTATAACTGCCTTTCATGTCATTTAGACTGAGCAGATAGAGAAGGTGCTAATTTCCACTTTTTTCTCCATCATTTTTTAAGTATACATTCCCTGTAGCCTCAGTTGAGCCAACAAAAACTAGAGTTTCTTTTGGCAGGTTTCACAATTTTATCTCCATGTGTTTTAAACTAGCCTTCACGAGTCTCTCAACAACCACATAGAACAGGTTGGAAGCACAATGACAGCAGTAAAACCAACAGTTTGCCTCAGAAACAGAAGCAGGGGAGAATCTAAAAAGAAAAGATTGAGCTCAAGGGAACTATACTCAAAACGTAAGAACTGCTGCTTTGTGCTGTATAGGAGCTCTGGCTATTCAGTCTTACTCTGCTCACCAGCACACAAACACACAGGAAAGTTCTTGTTCCATAAAGTTTACAACCTAATTTTATGAGAGCAATCTGGCACTGGAGAACGTAGGAGTGTAAAGGCAACACGCAGGAACCAGGTACAGCAAAATCAGGTACGTCTTGAGGAATCACAAACGAGCTAGTTCAACAATTACACTGCTAGACTTGTTTAACTAAGAGACAGCAGATGTGTTATTTGAAAGCTTTTTAAACCGTTCTCTGTGCCAAGTGGCTCGAGAGAATAATTTCTAAGAAAAGACTAACAGCATGGCTTAGCTCAGTAAAAGCCCATTACAATAATAGCTGCACATATCTGAAGGGAACAATCATCATCCGGCCCATGAACTTGACAAGGCTCCAGAAAGAATTAGATAGGGACAACGATACCGCCACCACCCACAATTTCACTTGATATGCCATAAATTACAGGAAGACAAACCTTATGCCTCAAGACAGGGCTGGGCTCCTAGCAGAGGGCTGTGGGGAGCCAGCCTGCCTCCGGGGGTGGCCGCGCCGAAACCGGGCCCCGCTACCGGCAGCAGGCACAGCATCGCCTCGAGGACGTCGTTCCTTTCCTCCTTCATTAATCCTGGTCGTTCAGCAAAACACAGGATCAAAAGTGGTCCAAGGAAGAAAAAGGAGCTTTCATTAAAAAAAAAAAAATAAAATAATTGTGATAAATGCCTTGGCCTCTAGCGTCAGCTGCTCAAGGAGAACAGCAGAAGTTACGCCGCGTTGCCGTAAACTGCTCTGAAATAAAAGAGGGGAAAACAGCTTTGTGGGCCACAAGCTGGATAATTTAATAGCTCCTTTTTGTTTCTATTTTTCAAATGGCTTTTACAAATTCTTTTAGGCAGTCGCACACTGACAGGTGAAATCAAATAATCCTAATCTTAGTCTAACGAGTGACGTGCTGCAGAGAAGAAATGAAGCTATGGAAGGGAGAATAAATGCTCAGGAAGGAAGGAGAAAGCCTGTGTGGGAGAGCACTCCTGAGATAGTTGCCTTACACCTTAATTTGCACACCAGCCCGACCAAGGGAAAAGCAGCATGGTTCACGAGACAGGAGACCTGACTTCAGTTCTGCTCCTGCCACCCAGGCATAGAACGTCAGCAA